GGCCTTTCAGTTACAGCGTAAAGTCTATGAATGAGTATTGTAAACGTTAGAGTAGACAAATACAATCAGAAATCACCGAATTGCTAAGCTATCTGGAGTTTCACGTGTTATTGTGAGTCAACCATAAAAGATAGACATATGCTGTCGAGGAATATTTTTTATATAATTTTAAGGAGAATATTTCCGTCGTACATGATTTCTATGCAGCTTTAACCTTTTGAGCGCCAGGGTCACAAATACGTGACAAGCGAAAACTGTCCCTGAGCGCCAACGACACAAATATGTGACAAAAACAGCGGTACATTAAAACACGAAATAAACTATTTAAACATTACTTTAATGCCTATTTATTTATATGCCTGTAAAATAGAAGGTCCAAAATTTATTTATTTCCATAAAACTAATTAAATTGCATTATAAATATTGAGAAATTTTACGTTAAAAAGAAAGAAATAAACTCTGAAAAAAGAATGTCCTCACACGCCAGAGTCATAACTGCGTGACCGCTAGTGATGTAGCGCATGTTGGATATTATCATTATTTCAAATCAAAGATCGATTCGAAACTTTCCTCTGGAATATATTATTCTAGGTATAATTTGGTACTAGGATAAAGCAGCATTAATTTTATAAAACCAGTCTTAAAAATCATTTAATAAGCTACATAGTCAAAAATAAAATTTGGTTGGGTCGAATTTCGATATTCACTAATCCCAACTCAAGCGCATCCCTAACGCAACCCGAATTATCAGTACCCTGTACGCCATGGTCACGACTAGGCGACAATATCGTGACGTCACAAGCGCGGCGACCAGAAATTAGTGAAGTGAATGAATAATATTTATGATTAATTTACTTGTGATATCGAGTTCAAGATTTATATTAAGTGAGTATTATAATGAGTGGGAATTTAATGACTACGGAAGAACTTCTTCGCATATTAGAAGGAGTCTCAGATGACGAAGAATTTTCGGAAACAGAATCTTTGGACGAATTTTTAATTTGTTTATATGCCAGGTTTATAGAACTTAATATTTAAAAACATGTATACATAGTACATACTGTATAACATTTTATTAAAATTTTCTATTTTTTCATAGTTTTTATTTACCTTCTTAACCTATTTCAATCATATATTTTTAAGTACCTGTTACATTCGGAATTATAAATCTGATTTAAAAAACGTGTTTCATTTATTATAAAATAATATTGTACTAGAACATCGATAAACGAGATATTACGTTGCCACATCCTTATTTCGGAAGCGAAGTAGTTATTAAAATGGCGGGCCGTCCACGCCATGGTCACAATATGAAGACAGCAGATCAAGAATAGTGTTGTACCTACAGTTATTATATTTAAATATATTGTAGTCTCATATCTGTTATTACGGTATTATACACGTCTGTAAATAGTGTATAACTATTACTTTAATAGGAAGAAATGTAATGTTGAATTAAATTTCAATGTTATAAGGACATTATATTTCGAAATTAAAGACGAAAATGAAAATAAAATTGATTATCGATGAAGTTTTGGAATCCCTATTTTTTTCGTAGGTATTTGCGGTGAATTTGTGGCCTGGCGTTGAGGGCAAGTTCATGCGTTTTTGCTCTGGCGTTCAAAAGGTTAACCTATAAGCCTGCACACGCGACGGAAGTTTAAAAAATGGAGTAACTTCTCCCGTTTTCCCAATATTTCCCTTCACTGCTCTGCTCCTATTGATCGTAGCGTAATGAAAAGTATACTATAACCTGCCCAAGAGTATGACGAATAATTGTGCCAAATTTCTTTAAAATCCATCGAGTAGTTTTTGTTTCCATAACGAACATACAGACAGACAGACAGACAGACAAAAATTTTACTGATTGCATTTTTGGCATCAGTAGCGATCCCTAACCACCCCTTGATAGTTATTTTTTAAATATATTTTATGTACAGAATTGACCTCTCTACAGATTTATTATAAGTATAGATTGCTAATAATTACCTATATTAAGAGAGAAACTCTCTAAGAAAATGGAATCCATGATATGTTGGGCAGCAGATGCTCTATCGATCTGTCGATGCTCTGGAATAACGGAGCAAGCAAACCAAATTGTAACAAGAGAAATTAGCCATTCCAAATAGGGCCACTTCAATGTTTTTGTTGACGTTCAAAAGTACGTTATTTATTTTTAAACAGTCAAAACGGCAGAAAACCTGACATATTTACATCAGATAAAAATAAATAAAAGAAAAAGAAAAGTAAAACTGATTTTTTTTGTAAAGCATAAGCCGGTAAACGAGCTGACAGATCACCTGATGGTAAGCAATTGGCGTCGCCCATGGAAACTTGGAACACCAGAGGCGTTACAATTGCGTTGGGGATGAGAAGTTTGAGTATCGTTGGGATTCAGGGATTGAGGAGATTGGGGAAGGGGAAGGCAGAAGGAAGGGCCTCCGGTAACCTCACTCACGCGACGAAAGACAACGTCCGGCCAACGACAACTCCGGTCGAGCCGGCACATTCGTGCCGAAGCATGGCTCTCCCACACTTAGAATTAAAACAAGAGTTAACACTATGCATAAGTTTCTCTCGCCTTCCTGGTGTAATGGAAAGGAATGATTTTGACTTTGGCTATAAATAACCTTACAAAACATAAGCAAAAATTCGCGCCTCCCATCCACAATATAACCGCACCAAGTGTAGCTTAACTCCTAAGGGTAAGAGGTTATAAAATATAAATAAAAGGAGTTTTAAACTAGCAATGTCAATATAATACTGTTGCCGGGCTATTTCGTAACATTAGGTGAACTTAACTACCCTCGAGATGGCTCATTGGATGTAAAATGGTACCGCCATGGTTTGTGCAAAACGAGGATATTTTCGGTGATTTATTAAACTGTATATTTTTTCTGTTCCTTACGGTACAGGAGGCAAACGAGCAGACGGATCACCTGATGGTAAGCGATCAGCGCCGCCGATTGACACCCACAACACCAGAGGAGTTACAGGTGCGTTGCTCGGAATGTCCTATGGACTTAAAGTAGAAATGAATGATGAAATGAAACTACAATGTGTAGGTACTAATTGTTACCCGCTGTTTTACCTCCGCGTTTGTATAACTACTTAAAAACACAAACCTTTTACAGTTTACTCACATCAATGTGACACTCAACCAGACGAGATAGTGGTCAAACGTCGGCTCATCAAATATATAAAATAAATCCTCTCCCACCTCGAGACAGGACAGTCGCCATATTCCAAAACTCACAGTCACCCGACACGGGCGCACTTGATAAATGTTTATAGTCTGTTCCCACGCGATCTCAAAAACATTACACCAGTGTGTCCCGGGAAATATCTACAATATCTACACCATACTCGTCTTTTTGGCAATAGCTCTAAGTGGTTTCTTGTTGATTTTAAAAAGATTGCAGTTTTATACAATAAGTAGGTAGTTGTTGTGTGGAGGAGGTAATGGATTTTGTTTTTTAAAGTTTTAGTGGATTTTAGCTGAGCTCACGACTTCGTCCGCATGGAATAGTGATTCACAGCTCCTCCCCCGTAGCGTGATAATATGTAGCCTACATATATGTTGACCCGACCTGTTAGTAATATTCATTCAAAATTTGAAGTAAATTCATGTAGTACTTTTTGAGTTTAACCCGGACATACATACAGACAAACAGACAAAAATTCTAAAAACCATATTTTTAACTTCGGTATCGATTGTAGATAACATCTCAAGTATTCTTTTAAAAAAATATTCAATGTACAGTTTTCACTTACCTATGATTTTATTAGATGTAAAAATATGGATATAGATATATGTAGATGTAAATATAGATGGTCTATATTTGCGTAGCGGCCTGTTCGAGCTTTGCCAGGTATGTTTCTTAACGTATGATCATGAATAATGATGATTAAAAGAAATACGTTTATATGATTTTCAACTACAAATATCTAAAGTAATCTATAATATTGATGATGGAGCAAAATAACAGAATGGATTAGCAACAATGTGCGTATATATGCCCCGGTTGGCTACCAAAAGTGACACCGACTCTTTAGTAAAATAAATATTTAACTATAGCATCAAATAGGTGTTAAATAGTGCACATGGTCTCAATGACATAATTATCTCGTTTGGTTCAACTATACCACGACGCTGACGATTTTTTCCATCACTGTATGTTGATAACACAAGAATATTTAAAGGACTACCAAACCAACAATAAAAAACACACAACTAATTATAATTCATAATTTTTATTTCCCTCATCGGTCACATAAACCCTAAAAATAAACTCTACTATAAATAATGCAGTTACAAAACGAATAATTATTTTAAAACGAATTACAAATAACAATTCACATCTATATTAATTAGGGATTAACATAACATCGGTAAAGAAAGAAAAATAATGGCAGATGGGAGACACAACATCTTTAAATCACTATTCGAGATAAGCTCGACAACTTTTAAATCATATCGGGGCTCTTATTTATCAAGCTACATTGTTGACTGGACATTTACACTACATGAGCTGCTGCGTCGAGTACTATTAACTCAAGTCGAACTCACAATATTTTCTAACCAGAGTTTATCTTTAGAATTACCTACTTACTTATGCATTAAGCCTGGAAATGAATTAACTAAATTCAAAATCTATGGATCAATCCAAATTTTTGAAAGAGATTCCATACAATACATGTCAAAAATCAATCTTAATCTAAAGATTCTGAATTGAGATTCGTTATTAATTTCGGCTGTATGATCAATTCCAAATTATCTAGATCATCGCGAAATGTTACAAAGAACCTATCACCAACTAACACTCATTTCTGCATCATTTAAAGACTAGCAGAAAATACTCCATACGACAAAAACCCGACAAAGCAAGCACCAACAAAAACCTCAATGACTTTCCAAACCCTAACAACAAATCTATTGTCATTTACATCTTATCCCGATACGCTAGCGTGATTTCCAAAATCCTCTATAATTCCAAAATTCATTTTTGCATCTTCACCGTACTGGGTTCGTGTGTAACTTCACTGTTCTTATGAACGTTTTTAGTAGCTGTTGCATGCTTTTTAGCATCAGCCACTGCTTTGTAATACACATCTTTGAGATTCCTTTTGGCTAGCTTGTCATTTTTATCTACTGTTGCCATAACTCGTTCATCATCTTTAACAGTGACTCTCTTCATATCCGTTACTTGAACTGCATCATAGAAACTAGCTGTAGTTCTTGTGTGCTTCTTGCCAAAGTTTTTGATGAATTTATTTAGTTTTCTTCTCAATCTACGTCGTTTTGGGCGTTTCTTCTTCTTCTTGTCTGTGTCTCTTTTGAGACGTACCATGTTTTGTTTTTCAAGAATCTGTGAATTAGAAAGTTTTGTAAAAGAAAATATTTTATGGGGAAATTGTCTTATTTTATTTTATTTTAGCCAAGCTTGTCCCACTGCAGGGCAGAGACCTCCCTACCCTCCTTCTACGTCGCGGAGAACCTAACGGGTAACCGGGGCTTCTGCTCGACGTGTAGAAGAAGGAACGGGGTGGTTTTTACTCAGTAAGAGTCTGACACTCCCTCCCGCCTCACCCAGGCGGGAGCAGTCATTCGATGATTTTCCCCCTTAAAAAAAACCCTCCTTCCCTCTCTTCTTATAGCTTTATTTTTTATTGTTTCTTTATTTGGAAGTAGTTACTAATTGACATATTTTTTTTATTTAACTTACCGAATACAATTCGTATCCATTCATTTGTTTGTTCAGATATTTCAGTTGATTATCAAGGTAAGACTTCACACCCATCATTTTACTCTGAAACGAAATTACCTCTAGAAACATAACACTTTGACAGGTTTATTAAAGAAGATTGGCAGATTGACTGCCTCGTTTGCCGCGTGTTCACATGCGCGTCTGCCGAGCATGGGGTCTCGGGTTCGATATCTGGGTCGAGTAGAGTATTTATTATTGATTTTTTTTTTAAATAATACTCAATAACAGCACGGAGTCTGGAATTGTGCCCGGTGTACGGCAATAGGCTTAACCCCTATTACTTGGGACTCATAATATAAAATAGTGAAAAGTGGATATTACATTGTACAGTGGCATTAAGTGCCGTAATGTGCACCTCTGTCTATCCTATCGGGGATAAAAAAGCATGGTGTTATGTTATGTCTATTATTTACATCATCATTGATTGATGACTGTTGATGAAGCGAAAGAGGGTAGGAATCTTAGTAATTGGCGTTCCCTAGTCTCTGCCTACCCCCATGGGAGACAGGCGGGAAGTTATGTATGTATATATGTCATTATCATCACTAGTACATCAATGTCCAGACGTCTAGTGCCTCACATATGCGTCCTCCAATGACTTCCCGATCAGCTGGTTGGAAGCAACCTACATCCAGTGGCTTCCTGAGGCCTCCTAATCAAAACTCATCATCAAGTTAATTTACCTTGTCTTCATCACTCATATCATCATACTGGTCCATCAGTTCCTGCAGGGAATGGAGACAGTCGAGGTAATGAGCCCTCACGTCCATGTCATTAACTCGATTCATTTGTTTCACGTCGATGTCATGGTCGTCTTCATATTTTTCTGTAAACGTAAATGATAAAATAACATAGTTTCATTCAGAATAATTTTGTTTAGTATGCTTATCATATTACTAGCTGACCCGGCAAAATATTTTTTCTCACCTGTTAAATCTTTCCCTATTTCACAAACATTTTAAGACATCCTCAAATTCCCAATTCCCAAAAGGCCGGTAACGCACTTGTAACGCCTTGGTGTTTATAGTGTCCATGGGCGGCGCCGATTGCTTACCATCAGGTGATCCGTCTGCTCGTTTACCGGCTTAAGCAATAAAAATAAAAAAAAGACCAAAATTAGCCAAATTGGTTCAGCCGTTCTCGAGTTATAATGAGACTAACGAACAGAAATTCTGTTTATTAATACAGATTATGACATAATGAACTTTTAATCATCACATCATCATGTCAGCTACAGGACGTCCACTGCTGAACATAGGCCTTCCTCCAATGACTTCCAGATAGGCCGGTTGGTAGCGACCTGCATCCAGCAGCTCCCTGCGACCTTGATCAGGTCGTCTGTCCACCTTGCGGATGGACATTCTACGCTGCGCTTGCCGGTACGTGGCCTCCACTAGAGAACCTATCTACCCCAGCGGCCGTCGGTTCTCCGCGCTATGTGCCCTGCCCACTTAAACTTTTAATATAATTTCAGTTTACCTAATTTTGTACCTCTATTATGGTATTTTAAACATGTCTTATAATACACATTTGATTTAATATACTAAATCAGGATATTTGGCATTATGCCATTTTGAAATTAAAAACATAAAATGAACATTAATGTCAATTGAAATTATACTCGGAATTTTAATTCGATTCCAGATTTGACAATTTCAGTATTGCAACGTTATGATAAGTACTAAATAGTGACGTTGCGAAATTATTCGATATGGAAATGCAATATTTCTGGATCGATTTTTCGCGTTTATAATTTTACTCTTGTAAACTAAGTATATCAGGAAATTAAATATTTCTGAACCGATAATTTAGTTTTGACGATTAATTAACGATCTGAGACTTTTCTTTTATAATTGTGTGTGAAATAAATAAAAAAATGTAATCATAAAGGAACATGACAAATAAAACAGATAGATGTATTATGGTAATAAGTAATTTTATAAATTGTCGCCGTCATCGCTATCGCTATCCTGACACTTTCTGTAACATTTATTATAAAACACACACACTGATTTTTTATCGATTTTTGTGTGCATCACTACACTATTATATGTGGTATCATTATTTCACAAAATGACAGTAGCTATTGTCAAATCTAGAATCTAATTAAAATTCTGACTATAGACTTTTCATTATTATGTCAAACATGAAACGCCCATTTGATATGTTTTTTAAAAACTATCGTGAGACATACTAAATTATCTAAAATCGCGGGTTACTCACGTGAATATATTGAGAAAAGCTCTACTAGTTTCGAACCACAGAGGGGTTTTTCCCACTACGCACGCTGCTCATGAGGAAGAAACCCTCTGTGGTTCGAAACTAGTGGGGACTCACGTAAGTAACCCGCGATTTTTAGTTAGTGAGACACCCATTGCCATCAGTATATCTTCTATTCAAAAACAACAGGCTCACTATTAGAAACTGATGCAAATAAATCGTCACCGCTTTCTGTCTGCATTTCCTGCATCGGTTCCATTAAGTCCTCGTCCTGGTAGGGTGGTTTGTAGCTCAAGGACTCTGGTTGGGGCTCCAGAGCCTCCTCCTTTGGGTAAGTAAGCCATTCCAGGAAATTTTGGAGGTCATTTGGTAGTTCTGTGTTGAAAGAAATGGGTTTTGAGACCACATTTGAAATAGTGAAAATCAAGCAGATGTGTTAAAAATCCATTTTTCCTAGACCTTTTTTTTGAGGGGGGAAAATCATCCAATGACTTCTCCCGCCCGGGTGAGGTGGGAGGGAGTGTCAGACTCTTACTGACTAAAAACCACCCCGTTCTCTTGCACTTCGAGCCGGAGCCCCGGCAACCCGTTAAGTCTTCCGCGGCTCCGATTTTTCCCAGACCTAGGAATTGAACTCAAGACCCCTTACTTGGCAGTCGCTATCATGTCCAATGAGATAGTAAATACAACACATACATTAGAAAACAATTGTGAATGTTAAGCCATTTCATTATTTAGAGACAAATCTGTTCTTCTAGAACTACATAGAAGTTAAAATAAAATCTAAAATAAACTAACTTGAGCAAGTTTTCTGTTGAACCTGATAATCGACCAGGTCTGTCAGAAGACGGACCAGTTGCTGCATCAGAGCGGATGCTACAGATCCTTCCCGTGAGTCTGATGATTTAGCTGAAATAAAGCATTTTTAGATAGTGGTATGATCACATGTATGAATATGATGGAAGTATGTAGGGAGTGTAGTAGGTGGCGCTCTGTAGTTTCTGTATACCATCAGATGTATGAATGTGATGGAAGCTAAAGAAGTATGTAAGGAGTTTTTTTTAAGGGGGGAAAATCATTGAATGATTTCTCCCGTCTGGGTGAGGCGGAAGGGAGTGTCAGACTCTTATTGACTAAAAACCACCCCGTTCCTACTCCTGCACTTCGAGCCGGAGCCCCGGTAACCCTTTATGTTCACCGCGGCATGTAAGGAGCTTAATAGGTGACGCTCTGTAGTTTCTGTATACCATTAGATGTATGAATGTGATGGAAGCTAAAGAAGTATGTAAGGAGCTTAGTAGGTGGCGCTCTGTTTCTATCTATATTTTAAGTCTGTGGTAACTTCATGGATTTGGCCATTAAATATTGGTGATGGGGTTAAGAGAGGAATGGGTCTCCTAACCTCACTCACATGGTGAATCAGAAAACAAGCGTTGTTTCACGTCGGTTTTCAGCTCAGCCGTGGTATCATGGTCGAGCCGAACGATTCGTACCGAAGCATGGCTCTTCCAAACTTAAAATAGCGATGTCTGATGATATTGCTTTGATTTTGGTCAATGAGGACTTTGATTTTTTTTATGGCATAGCCAGTAAACGAGCAGACAGATCATCTGATAGAATCGGCGTCGCCCATGGACGCCTGGAACACCAGAGGCGTTAAAAGCGCGTTACTGGCCTTTTGGGCATTAGGAGTTTCAGGATCGTTTGGGGATTCAGCGATTGGGGAATTTGTGGAAGGGAAGGGTAATTGAGCCTCCGGTAACCTCACTCACACGACGAAACACAACGCAAGCGTTGCTGCACATCGGTTTTCTGTGAGGCCGTGGTATCACTCCGGTTGAGGTGGTCCTTTCGTGCCGAAGCATGGCTCTCCCATACTTAAAAGATCTTATCAAGATTTTTACCAGAATTACTTGGTTTTCCTTTTTCTGCCGGTGAATCCATGTTTCTGGTCTGCTGAACCGCCTTCGCCGCCTTTCGGCAAACATCTCTCATATTTGCCGTCAACGCCAAGAAAATTGATTTCTGATCAGCGTCAAGATCGTCCTGAAAAAACATATATACTTTTCTTTCATGTATAAGTTTCTGCCCAATTTTATTTGTAGTTTTTTTTTAAAACCTACGATAGGATTTTCAGCTGCAGACATTTTACATGGACGTCCAATTCAAAAGGCTTGTAAAACTTTTTTTTATTGAGTAACGAATGGTGTTCCTTTCTCATTCTTCTCCATTCGAATCTACATTTTGGAACGAGCACCTAGCTTCACTGATGAACAGACTGACAGACAGTTATTGATTTTTTATTTGTTGACGTTTCAAAATTACCAAATTAGGGTTTAATTGAAATAAATGCTTTGACTTAGTTGTAATGTGCTGACTAAGAATACTTATTGTGATAGACGTTTCTAGGACAAGCAGTTATGTTTCCATTCTGTTTAATCTATTATATTACGGGCGCTGTCAAATGGGACTGGTTAACTCCAGACTGTATTAAATTTGTTGTCCTCAAGGTTATTTTCTTTTTCCGTCTCCTTGACCAAATATTGTTATTACATTGTTCTCACATTATTGAACTTAACGAAAGAATGTAACCAAAAATTGTATTGTGAACCTGATTGAAAAAGAGTAACCTATCGAGTTTCTTGATCGTTCTTCTCCATAGGAATCTACACTTTGGAACGAGAAAATAGCTTCACTAGAGGACTGACCTACAGACTAACATTTTTTTCTTATTATTTAATATTTAATTATTTTGTAGTGACGTTCAAAAGTGCCTTCCTGGTCTAATTGAAATAAATGATTTTGACTTTGACTTTGACATTACATTTAAGTCAAGTAGAATGTATTATTTAGTTACTCACATCATCCTTGTTATCAGTCTCTTGGCGTCCAACACGATTTTTATAAATTTTTTCATAAACATTTTTCGGATACGATCCCACTCTGTGAATAGCATTTCTGTTATCATTGTCACATCTATTCCTAAGCTTATTAATATCTCTAAAATACATACGGTAGACAGAGACAATAGAATGTAAGTGTATCTTCTGTTTGCTCAATAAAACGTTGGCTTACTTCTCGCTCCTACCATTTAGTCTTCGCTGCATCACCAAAAGGTCAGACTGGGAGAAAATGCCTGCGGCATTAAGTCCACCTAATGTACATTCGGCGCATAAAACCTAAATGAAATAAATATAATGCCAAATGCCCCGATTCTATCACACCTCTTTCGCTTCATCTACATTCATCAATCTTTTTTGCAAATGCTTGAGATTACTTTCATTTGGCTTTTTTAGATATCGATTTAAATATTTTTTTAAATCGATATTTTTTTTAAGGGATAAACCAGTAAACGAGCAGACGGATCACCTAATAGTAAGCAATCGACATCGCCCATGAACACCTGGGACACCAGAGGCGTTGCAAGTGCGTTAATGGCGTTGGGGAATTGGAATTTGAAGATTGTTGGGGATTCAGGGATTAGGGACGGAAGGGCGTAATTGGGCCTTCGGTAACCTCACTCACACGACGAAACAACGTTTTTTTCATGTCGATCTTCTGAGGTCGTGGTATCACTCCGGTTGAGCCGGCCCATTCGTGTCGAAGCATGGCTATCCTACACTTAAATTTACACACGATATTATGGTTGATGATCCCCCAAGTATTTTTAGATCAGCGATAGTTTCATCTGCCGTTCGTTTTACATGCTATATTTTGATACTATCCACAGTTCCTGACAGGTCACCGTTATACTTGGCCCTCCGTCCTCCTCTAAATAAGAGGTATCTTGTCCATCTACTCTCTTACTACACCCGGTCAAGGAATGGCAGTGGTATGTACTTACTCATTATTCTTGACTGATCGTGGAACTCGTTCCTTGGGCTCCGTATCTCCAGGGTGATCGATAGGTGAATTATATATGCGTGGATTCATCTTCAAATTCTCGGCAAACTTTCTTATTTTCTCATGCACCCATCTGCCTGGAAAATAAAAATTTTATACTAATCTGATCTGGATGGATATTCGTCAAAAAAAATTCCCAATCATAGTCGGGAATCAATATGACCGGAGGCCCATTCACCGTGTAAGCCAAAAAACAATAATTAATTTAGCATGTCTCACAAAATATATATTATAAACAATATGTTGGAACGCAGATTCTCTCGTTGTACAGATGCAGTTAAAATATCATTGTTCAAGGCGTATTGCAACTCACTATACACGGGAAGTCTATGGGTTAACTACACCCAGAGAGCGTACAATGGTCTGTGGATCCAGTATAATATGTAATGCGTCCAGGGCACTGTTCCGGCTTCCACGTTTCTGTAGTGCGTCAGCAATGTTCGCTGATGCTCATACCGACGGATTCGCTGGGTTATGGCGCAAAAAGACTGCATCGCTCATCAGTCGCCTGCGTGGAAGTCGCCACGGTATTCTGACTGCCATAGCCAGTAGACATGACTGTTCATTGATGTGCAAATTAGTGCAGTGGACAAGTCCCTTTTTACTATTGCTTATTAATATTGTACGTAAATAATTATATAGTTATGTATAATTGTGTTCTTCCTTTACTATTAGTTTGATGGATCTCAGTAGATAACTGTATGATAAAATCCTTATCCTTACTAGTGCTTACTAATATCATAAATCGGAAAGTGAGTTTGTTTGTTTGTTCCGCTTTCACGCCGTAACTACTAAACTGATGCTTTGAATTTTTGCAGACGTAAAGTTGGAAGTCCGGATTAAATAATAGGGTACTTTTTATCCCGGAAAAATTCGATATTCTTGATTGAAAAGAAAAGTGTTGGTTTAGATGGCGCTGTGTGTCTTGGTATATGTCACATAGGCTACTTTTTATCCTTTTGTGACGCGAGCAAAGCCGCGGGTAAATGCTAGTAAATAAATAAACAAATAGAAATGAAATGAAATGAAATATCCTTACCTGATCTTTGTATAAAGTCATTGTCCTTTACCGAATGCTTATCCCTAACAGAATTATCTAGGTTGTCAGCTTGCACGCCATATTCGTCATCGTAAATATCATTCCAAAATATTAAATTGCTATCTTCAGCATTTCTTTTGAAGATCGCTTTGACTTTAAGTTTTTTGTCATTCTCTGGTGCCTTGGTTTTTATGTTTGCTTTCTGTTTTATTGTTATATTATTGCTGAGGTTCAGAAATGGAGTTGACGGGCTTGTGGAGTTTGTTACTGGAACATTATTTAGATCTTTGTTAGAATATGCCTTCTCTTTAGCTTTTTGGCCAATATCCTGACTCCTACACCTACTTTTAACGGTAAGATAATTTGAAACCTTGCCTGCCTATGTTTTGGTAGTGTCCTATTCATATCACTATAGAGTACAAGGTCTGAGGTTGGTTTGTAGAGAAATATATTACAAATTGATTTTGGACTTTGTCGGACATTTTATTTTACCAAAGATCAATTGAATTTTGAAATTCATAATAAGTGTTATAATAGGGTACGACAATAAAAATCTAATTGGTCCGTCAGTTACATAACAAGAAAATATTAGTCATGTATTTTTTATTTTCTTGTATAAAGTTACAATACTTAGATAAAATGGAGTTAAGTTTAAGAGTGGGAGGTCATTACGTCACAAAGTGCTACAAAATGTGCAACTGTGACGTCACACGATATTTCAAAATAATATGTATATCGTCAAAAGTATTTAATTTTGTGATTAAAGAAAAAATAGTACAAGACGGACATTAATATACAATTTAGAAAAATATGTACCCTATTTATTTATTTAATAGGTACACAAAACAGAAACACAGCGAAATACACAACTGAATAACAATACCAAACTGTAAATGGCAGACCATGCTTCCACAAGTATGTGCACACAACATGACATGCAACGACTAGTATTTATTTATTAATAATTATTTACAATGAACTATAATCCAGAACAAAATTAGAGATAATTTGTAATAATAAGGAGAATTAAGAATGAAATTAAACAATAGATACATTATTCAATGTTCAATATTGTCCTCATCATCGGACCGACCAAATAACAATTTCTTAATAATATTCTTAAATTTGTGAAGCGAAGTATTGTGGATATCAGGCACGCCCATGTCACTCGAGAGTAGCTCGTTGTACTTGCGACACATCCGTATCACAGGATTGTGAGACGATACATTGTTGTTGCACATTGGCAAAGAGAAAAACATCTCGCGTCTAACAGATCTGGTAGGGATCCTGAGGTGAATCTGCGATAATAAGCTCGTGGCAAGAATCCCATTCATAATTTTAAACAAATATACCAAATCCTGGTAGGAACGCCTAATTCCCAAGTTCGGCAACCCAAAATGAGCAGAACGCTGTGCATACGTCTGAAGTTCTCTTTTTAAGCCATACCTATGTGACATGAAGCGCACAAAACGGCGTTGAGTCGACTCAATAGGTCAGTATGTACCTTATATTTAGGATTCCAGACTATTGACGCATACTCAAGTCTGCTGAGCACAAGGGACCTGTATAGGGTGATAGCACTGTTTTGATGTTTAAAATCTCTAGACATGCGACATATGAAACCCATAGTTTTCCTACATTTGCTGGAGATATACGCACAGTGTACGTTAAAAGAAAGTTTGGAGTCGTAAATGACACCCAGGTCTCGTACTTCCGCTAGACGCTGCAAGATGTGGTCATTTGCGGTGTATTCAAAAGTGATTGGATTTTTTGCACGTGTGAATGTAATAACTGAACATTTATTCACGCTGAGATCCATGCCATTCAGTGCACACCATTCCAGCAAAGTGTTGATATCAGACTGTAACTGGTTACATTCTGTGACATTGCGAACACGAGAGAAAATTTTCAAATCATCCGCATATAACAATGAGTGGTTCAAGAGTTTAGGAATCAAGTCGTTAATATATAATATAAAGAACAGTGGACCGAGGTGAGATCCCTGTGGGACTCCTGAGGGTATAGATACCCTGTCGGAGTTGTAGCTTCCGAGGGTCACAATTTGACTCCGGTTCACTATGTATGATTCCAACCACCGCAAGAGGCTACCATGAATCCCCCAACAAGTATCCAATTTACAAAGCAATATTCTGTGATTGACTCGATCAAAGGCCTTCCTAAAGTCAGTATAGACACAGTCTACCTGTACATGATCGTTAAAAGCTTCAGAGATGTAGCTCGTATATTCAAGTAGATTGCTGACAGTCGATTTTCCCTTCACAAATCCATGTTGTTCCGGACGTATAAACGGTTGAATATGATAATACAACTGGTCATACACTAGAGACTCAAACACTTTTGCGAAAGTAGTAGTATTGAATTATACAATCTTGGAACACTGAACATCAGTTTTTCATTGTATCCTCCATCTTCTTCTAGGAATAAAAAGCCAAATACGTATTCGATTTCAAACACTCCAATTGAAATGAAAAATTATTGAAAATTTTGAACATACCTACCATTACCACCAGTAATGTTGATGTCAAGAGTAGTAACATTAGAAGTAGCCTCCACATTCTTTTCTGTCACATTGACTGGATTCTCATCAATCGAGAGAAGAACCCTGGACTTGTAGCCACCAATATTACCTACGTGACCACTATTATCATTATTGTCATCGTAAAGATTGTAGGCAGTGTCCGTAGTTGTGACGTTGGGTTCAGTGGACGTGTTGGCAGTTTTTAGCATATCGTTTATATCGGAGCTGGAAAAGAGACACATAATTAAATAAAAATTTCGAATTACTCACGTAAATATACTGAGATAAGCTCCACTAGTTTCGAGTCACCGAGGGACTTTTCCTCATGAGCAGCGTGCACGGTGGCGGTGATGTCGCGCAGCCTATTGACGTCGCTGCGACCACGCATAATTCAGCATGTGCCACAATACTTATTATAAAAACAAGGGACAGATTTGCACAATCAGGTCTCAATGACTTCTAAATCGGCTGTATCGAACGGCTTTGCACTTGTTTGTATACAACAAATAATTATATAATTTTATCACAACAAATAATTATATAATTATGTGTTACGGGATGGTGCTGAAAATCAGCGCCGTGGACTCGAGCCTTCTTGCCCAGGCCACAGTTTTAAGCTGAGCTCCATGGACTTCTTTTCGTGTGTACCTGTATTCTTGTCTACGTGTGTGTTTTGACGTAATATAATAAATTGTTTTTCTTTCTATCTTTTTTCTTTTCTAAGTCCAAATACTTTATAATTGTAAATAATAGTTAACTTATTATTCTTATTAATGTGTGTACTGCAGGGTTAAGGCCTCTCTATCGTTCTTCGATTCTTCTTTACGTGAAGCTTTTAATTATATTATGTTCTACTAATAAACTAAAAACTTAAAAAACTACTCACATACTATTCTGCCTTGGTTTGGACCCCTTCAAATCTTCAAGAGCTTTAAACCAATCGGAGACCATAGCAAAGAAATCACTTAAAGTCATATTATCTGAATCAAAACTACTATTCAGTGACCGATGAGTTAAGAGTGAAATGTTCATATTACTATATCTGTTACTATTTAGAGTCATCGGTGTTGTTGTTTCGGGTGTTTCAGTTGCGTTATAATCAACCCACGTAGCAGTTAAATTACTAAATGCTTTACTTCTTTTAACTATAGTTCTGTTCTTTAAATCTATTCCGAAATCTGTATCAATAGGCTGTGACTCAGTCTCATTTGGTTTTACAATAGCTTCTGGGAATGCATCAAATTGATTATCTGTATCAGGAAAGCCTAAACTATCATTCAACAATATCAATGGTTCTTCATTAAAATTAATAATTAGTGGAACATCAAACATTAAGTTTATATGTTCGACTCCAAAATCTGGATTTTCAACTGTCAGCATTATCTTTCCTAGATAATTGCTGCCTGTGTTTTCATCCATTTTGATTTCAGTTCTATTTATAGTTACAACTGTGTCTATTATAGGGTTAATATCATTATTGTTATTATCATTTGGGGATGGTGTGGGTTTCAGACTAGCATTAGCTGTCACAAAACTCGACACTTCATTAACAGAAGTCGGAGTGCCAATTTTCACGTAATTTGGATGAGCAGTACTAAAGATCTTAATATTTTTCTGTCTCATAACTTCTATATAGTGAGCTAATGCTTTCTTATTAGCTGGACTATTAGATTTAATATCCAAATCTTTGACAAAATCATCGATATTGTTTTCAGAAGTCTCTTGATTCGCAGTAGTTTCCACAGCGTTAAAGTTTTCTGTAACCTCAAAGTTCGTTGATAGAAGAGTTCTTTTGTTTTTGGTAAGAGCAAATACGACACCAGCATCTGGATCCGTATCTTCTGCTATAGGAGCAGTTGTTAGATCTGTGGTGGAAGAGTTATACTTACCATTTTTATTTGCTTTCTCCAAATCTAAATCAGGGTAAGAATATTTCGGAGTAGTCGTTGTTCGAGTTTGACGACGAGTGTTCGCTTTTGTCTTTGCCTTAAAGTGCACATGTTTTGAGAAGATGTTGAACAAGCTGACTTCTTCATCTTTTGTTTTGTTGGGTATCTTCATTTGGAAGCGGAAGCCGTCAGAATAGGGGCTGTAAGTACCGACGGGGCTGAAGCTGAAGGGGCTCGTGAAAAACATTGTGTTGCTGACGATATCTGACTGCTCTGGTGGAAATAATAATGATGTATGTTATATAATATTGTAATATTACAAATATGACTTACTACCTCTACATCGGTATTGTTATCTCTTTTCTTTACGGTTTGAAGTTTGTAACATAACATAACATCTCGCTTTTTATCCCCGCAAGGTTAGGCAGAGGTGCACATTTCAACACTTAATGCCTCTTTACAATGTAACACCCACTTTTCACTATTTTTGTTATGAATCCTATGTAATAGGGGGTGAACCTATTACCATATACCGGGCACATTTCCAGACTCCGTGCTAATACTAAGATTTAAAAAAAAAACTAGTAATTCTTCGCCCGACTCGGGAATCGAACCCGAGACCTCTTGCCGAGCGACTGCTCGTGCACGTGCGACTATTGCGCGTTATTCATTAATTTGAATCGCTAATAGCTAATTGATGTCCGATGAGTGGCTTGCTCGTATGCGAGTCACTTGAAGGACCAATAGAATATCAGCACAAGACCCTGTTTTGGCCATGGTGAACTGGTCCATTTCACCGCATACATGGGGCATGAATATGCATCCATTAATAAACTAACACCATATACCTAATCTGCATGTGTCACTTTTATTTAGTTTTTTTTCTTTATTTCTTTATACTTGGTCATATACCGGTACGTACACCATAATTAACTCGTCGAGTACCGTATTTATAGACACAATTAAAGAACAATAGGCTGCGGTCACCGGTGACCGCTTGGTGTTTGACAGTTTAATAAAAAATGTAAACCGGTAACATATATGTTAATCACATACATAGCCTCTTCTACATACTATTTTCTATTGATATTTTGTATGGTAGATGCCGTACAAGGGCAATATGTATAAAATAACAGCTACAAACCAATATTATCAGTGGAGGCGTTGTCAGAGGTTGCATTGTCAGAGGAGGCATTATCAGAAACATCCCTCTGTCTCCTGATGCTTCCCTCTCTAGTCATAGCCTCTGGGAGTCTACCTTTAACGAGATTAACATATTAGTTTTGATATTAAAACTGCTCTTTATATAATTTTCACTATGTCCAACAACTGATCAGCAACTAAAAGACGGCGGTGGTATTCGGTGATCATTCTGCGGCTTCTTGATACATATTTAAGTAGTATTTACAAGATATCATGCACCGATGAAATAAGTTTTTTTATGGGATAAGCCGGTAAACAAGCAGACGGATCACCTGATAGCCAATCGGCGCCGCCCATGAATACCCAAAACACCAGAACGTTCCAAACGAGTTTTTTTTATGAGACAAGCCCGCCGCAACCTCCCAAAACCGAAACAACTCCTGTAAGCCAGGATCTACAGTAGATACAACCATAAAAACACCGGAACACTGAAGTCCGACGCGACCCAGGGACATGAATAACTGTCTTGGTTCCCGCAACGAAGTGAATCAGAAGATATTACAAGAGGAGAAGAAGAAAAAACGATAGTTTCTACTTCCCTCGGTGAGTTCCAAACGAGTTGCCGGGCTTTTGGGGATTAGGAAATTAAGGATTGTTGGTAGAAGATCATAAATAAATAGAAATTACCTGATCTCAGTCTTGCGAGAAGATTGGGACCATACACATTGTCTTCAGCAGACAGCTTGATTCTTCTATCAGTAGCTGTCTCATCTGAATTCTTCTCATTCCTTGCGTCTTTCTTGCCATCTAAAACTCCATAGTCACTGTATGCTTGCGCCATTTCTACTAGTTTGTCGTATTTGTTTTTCAGGTAGTCCTCTACATATTCCACGTCTGATACATCTCTTCCTTTTCTACTTAGATTTAAGTCTCTGGCTAATTTTGGATGTGCGGGTTTCAGTTTATTCTCCTGAAGGAAATATTTATTTAGCATCGTAACCTTCTTAACTTTTTTTTAATCAGTTTATTTTGGACGGGGTTTTTATCCTAGCTATAAGACATGACAACCCCATTGTATCCATCATTAGCATAACTACAACTCTAATACATTTTATAAAAAATAAAGGATAATAGGGCGACGTCAAGAACTAAGTTACTGTGGGAGCACTGAAAGTAAACTGCAAAACATCTTTGCTTTCTTTGACGTTGGGGCTGATAAAATAGTTTGCGCGATAGCTACATCAAATTTATTTAGTTTAAGTGCTCCCATTAGCACCCTCCGCTCCTGACAATATTTGACACATTCCATCAAAATATCTTGCAGATCTTCTTCAACATCGCATGTATCACAATTCGGGGAGTCTACTTTTCTCATCATGTACGTAATTGGCTTTTAATAGAACATGGTGGTTTGATAATGCGTTAGCTTCTATACATTTTGAGTCAGCACTCAGCTGTGAGATTTTCAATCAGCAGAATATTGATAGCCTACTCAATTTTAAGTTGTAATTAAATATCGTGCCATCTCTGTCATTTAACAAAGAATTTGTAGAGACAGAACTATATTTAAGAGCTACATAAAATCGAGGTACGTTTAAGTATTTCAGTGTAAGTGATTCAGAATTGTAGAGGTATGTATCAACAGTGTGCACGACGGCAATACTAGGTCGCAAGCCGCCCGCGACGTGTTCCGAACGTGTCCGAACCATGACGAAAGGGCAAGTTCAGACACGAACATCAAAGGCGCGCGGCGGCGATCCTTTGTTCCGCGCGGCCGCTACTTGGTTTGAACTTGCCTTTGAGCATGTACAAACATGACTCAACGTCGCAGAGCGGCCGAGTCGCGTGCCCCGATCAACAGGAATTATCCTGTCCGCGCGCCTCGCATATAAAAGGACTGTACCCGGCGAGGCGCATCAGTTGTCAATGAGTTGTCAATGAGTGGTCAATGAGTTATCAATGTATTGTCAGTGTATGTAGTCGTTATGTAAAAGTCGATCATAGCCAGTCGATCGTAATATTGTCAATTTCATCTCCACTAGTGTTGTTAACATTATCATCGTAATAAAGTATATCAGTGTACAAGATTTCTCCAGTTTCATTATACAGTCCATTTGCTCTCACAAAGGACCCTAGCTCGTCGAGGACTGATCCACAGCCTGATCCCTCCGAGCCCGTACATTTTCTGGTCCTTCGAGCCGGATAAAGTTCTGGCAAAATGGTGTTAACACGCAGCCGTAGTGGAGAATCCAGGACAGAGCAGACCCAGCAAGAGCTTTCAGTGACCGCCGGACCGGGTGCCAGCAGCTCGGCACCAGAATCGAGCTCGGTCCGAGTGACGGACACAGGAAGCGGGTCTACGACGACTACCTACATCGACGCCACGCATGGTACGCTCAAGCCCAGCGATACAAGGTCACACCGTTCAACACATTCGAAGAAAAAGCGCCTCGCAGAGCTGGAGGCTAGGAAACGGCTGGCTGAGATGAAAGCCAGTGAAGCGCAGGCAAAACGAGAGCTGCAGGAAATACAACTGCAGTGCACCTTAGCCGAAGCCGAGTCGAGTGACGACGAGGAGTTGGTGGACGACCTCGCCTCCGTGAGGATTGGAACGTGGCTAGCGCGACCCGCGCCGCCACCCGGAGGCGAGACTCGGCCGCCGCCACACGGCGTCAGCAGCGGGAGCATCAGCAGGAACGCAGCCCACGCAGCGGCAACGACGGCGAGCGGCGCCCCGGCGGGCGCGCAACCGCCGCGAGATGACAACGGCTATGGAAAAGTGTGTGAAAGTGCGTGTGCGAAATCAAAGGGCAATATCGCGAGTGTAGTGTCACACGGTAACGTGATTGATAAAGTGATAGACGTAGGAACACTCGCCGCAGCACTAGCGCAGGTCATGCGTAGTTCCAGAGAGCCCCCGAAGTACATGCAGCGGCTACCAGTCTTCGACGGAAAACCCGGTGAGTGGATAGCTTATAAGGCCACGTATTGTGACTCACACACGTACTTTTCTAGCGTAGAAAATGTAGCTAGGATTAGGATAAGCCTCAGAGGTGCCGCAAAGGAAGCTGTAGGGAGCCTATTATTTAGTCAATCTGACCCTCAGGTCATTCTAGACGCACTAGAAAGACGTTTTGGTAGGCCTGAGGCCTTAATAATGACAGAATTAGATAATGTAAAGTTATTACCTAGATTAAATGATAACCCTAGGGATATTTGTATATTTGCTAGCCGTATTGCAAACACAGTAGGTACGATAGAAGCTCTAAATAGAATTCAGTATTTACATAGCCCCGAAATGTCGCGTAATATCATAGAAAAGTTAACGCCAATATTAAGAAATAAATGGTATGATTACGCGGCTAATAGAAAGCATGAAGATATTCCCGTATTGAAGCTGTTATCTATGTTCATGAATGAAGAGGCCGACAAGTGTAGCGCGTACGCGCTGCCGGAGCGTGTTAGTGATAACGCCATTGATGTACGACAAAGGCGCAGAGTTGAGCGCATGTTCATCGTGAGTAAAAGAACATCAAGTGAGCTATGCCCGGCATGTAAACAACACGGCCACAAGTTACCAGACTGCAATAAATATAAGCAGCTAGACATAGATACTCGGTGGAACATAGCAAAAAACAATAACATGTGTTTTAGATGTTTACGAAACAAACACAGAAGATTTATGTGCAGAGCGCCTATTTGTGATGTCAAAGGATGCAACATGAAACATCACAAACTGTTGCATAAAGAGCGAGATGATAAGACAACTCACAACACAGCGCCGCACGCGCCGCCATCAATGACGCCCGTTATCGCACACGAATCTGTGACGTCAGCGCGCGAAACAGTATCAACAACTTCGCCTCGGAATCGCCGGGCGTACTTGAAGATAGTTCCTGTGACGTTACGCGGACCACGTACGAGTATAGATACATACGCCATGTTAGACGATGGGAGTACAGTCACCTTGTTAGACGCGACAGTGGCAGACATCCTAGGTGCAAATGGGCCAGCTAGTCCTATGCAGATACAAGGCCTAGGTACAGAAGTCAAGCATGAGCAAAGCCGCACTGTTAGTCTCCACATTCAAGGCAAGTACCACAGCGTCCCGCAGAAGATAGAGGCAGCGCGCACCGTAAATAGGTTAGAAATCATGGCGCAGACTGTACACACAGAAGACATAAACAATTGTAGATATTTAAACGACATAAGAAGCACTCTTGTTTATGAACGCGCGCGACCGATGATTTTAATAGGTCAAGATAACTGGCATTTGTTAGCAACCACAAAAACGCGTACAGGTGCGCGCGATCAACCGGTAGCATCTTTCACGAAACTCGGTTGGGTATTACATGGATGTAGTTATAAATCAGTACACAAAAACATCGATACATTTTGCGGCCACATTACCATTAAAGAAGATGTAGAACCAGTTGAAGAAACCACGAGAACCTTCAAATTAGAATCAATATATTGTATAGAACCTAAGATACCTAAAGATGACCCGCAAAAGCAAGACCTAGGTATCCTAGGCCAGAAGAGTCAACGATCGCCCGATGACAGCATCGCGACCGGACCATTGAGGAAACCAGAAGCATCTATAGTACCTAATAACCACCTAGATCTAGATCGGTGCCTAGATAAGGACGAAAAACGCATCAAATGTCAAGTGAACCACGTAAAAGTAAATAGTCCAGATAAGTACATACCTACACTTGCTGCTTACGCTCAACGCGCCAAAGAACAAAAGGACAAGGACTTGCCGGCCGAAACCTTATCAAAGGGAACCGCCGCCATACAGGATAAAAAAGCGGCCGGCAACGGCTCGTTATCAGCGCTAAGTACATGTGGCGCAAGCGCACGTGTTTTACGTTTGCGCGGGAGAATCACAGCGGTGGCAAACATGAATGCAGAATTAAAACACCCTGTTATATTCAAAAGTAAACACAGGCACAAGAAGTTAGGTACTACATATTTGCATAAACAGTTACACAATAGCGGGAACAACATAGGACAGCCTCATAGGATTAAATTTGTAGCTATTAGGCACAAAGACGAATGTGTAGAATATAGATCGATATACAATATGCATAGGAATAGATTATAGGTTTAGGTATAGGCAGTTTATAGGTATAAGTATAGGTATAGGTTAGTTTGTAGATAGATTAGTCTCGCTACCTATTTCAAAGCGGCAGATAGGGACCTAGGTATAAGTGCCTTAAGCGCTTTAGGAGTGAGTCCAATGCGCGGTCTATAAGCTGGAAGCTTATACCACCGGTGTCGCCGTTTTGGCAAAGATGGGTACGTGAATACCAACCAGTCCCTCAAGACCGGCGGGAGCCATACGGCAGCGGCACCCCACCCAAGGTTGGAGGCATCATCGTGATCTCCGACCCTTACCTCCCACGCAAGTTGGTTCAGAGGAAGGGTGATACAGGTGCTGCCAGACACAGATGAAGAGGTACGAGTAGACATCAGAAACAGACGACTCGTACTCCGAAGACCGGCGAAGCGCATTGTCGTGCTCACCAAGGAGTCGCCTGATGGCGACGGCGGGAGAAATGTGCACGACGGCAATACTAGGTCGCAAGCCGCCCGCGACGTGTTCCGAACGTGTCCGAACCATGACGAAAGGGCAAGTTCAGACACGAACATCAAAGGCGCGCGGCGGCGATCCTTTGTTCCGCGCGGCCGCTACTTGGTTTGAACTTGCCTTTGAGCATGTACAAACATGACTCAACGTCGCAGAGCGGCCGAGTCGCGTGCCCCGATCAACAGGAATTATCCTGTCCGCGCGCCTCGCATATAAAAGGACTGTACCCGGCGAGGCGCATCAGTTGTCAATGAGTTGTCAATGAGTGGTCAATGAGTTATCAATGTATTGTCAGTGTATGTAGTCGTTATGTAAAAGTCGATCATAGCCAGTCGATCGTAATATTGTCAATTTCATCTCCACTAGTGTTGTTAACATTATCATCGTAATAAAGTATATCAGTGTACAAGATTTCTCCAGTTTCATTATACAGTCCACTTGCTCTCCACAAGGACCTAGCTCGTCGAGGACTGATCCACAGCCTGATCCCTCCGAGCCCGCACAAACAGATTTTTTTAAGTCACAATAATTAAGGTAATTTAACTAAATTATCTATAGTGTGGTCTATACCTGAACTTATTATTATTAAATTAAAAATCAAAATGCAAATGTTTTTAATTTTCAATTCAATTAAAAGAAGGCCTTTGTTTAGAATTGAATTTTTGCCCAGTAGACCCATTAATGATGATGATTAAACAATTCATACCTTAAGGTCTTTGGTAGTGTCAGAAGACCCATGTTTGACCATGGAGTTAAGCTCATCAGGATACAAAGGCATCGGTCCCTTCCAGTTTGGATTATGAACTCCTGGTGGATTGTATTTAATGGTTTTCTCTGTCGGTAATTGTGGTTTATCCTGTAAAGTTGGAAATTAATAAAAAAGAATGGTTAATTAATACAATAAAATGTTTTTTTTTATATTTTTTTTATACCACGACGACGGTGGCAAAAAAGCTCACGGCCCACCTGATGGTAAGCGGTTACTGTGGCTTATGTAGGTACGCCTGCAACACTTGGGGCATTTTACATACGTCTTGCCGACCCTTAAGAAACCTATTCACTCCCCTCTTGAAGAACCATAAAAAATATTTGATCGGCCTACGTTTGTCTACTATCTCGCCTGGTGGTAAGGGATGGTGCGGTCTATGATACGGCACTTCGACTCACGTCGTCATTTCACTCTGGACTTGAAGACACCCATGTTACATTTGTCGGAAAACACAGATTCCGGCAAGGAATTCCATCTACAAGGAAGCTTGATGCGAAACGCTTCGTTCAAATGGGTGGAAGTGGAATGTCCACCATATAAGAGTAAACTTAATTAATACGTAAGATAGTTAGGTAATTTATTTTTCCATACTTTTTGAGCACATTCTATTCCTATTGCAGTGTGTTCATTCTATGTTTGTATTGTAACTTTCGTGAGACATACTAAATAAATTATTATGTTTTCGGCTTACTCACTTAGTAATTCGACGAGGAACTCGACTAGTTTCAAGCCATGCTAGGGATCATATTCATGAGCAGCATAGCTACTACGTGAGTAAGCCGAAAACATAATAATTTATTGAATTTATTCTACTACTATTTTGCAACGTTTTTGACCATTAATGGTTTAAAATACATACATCAGACCGCTTCTTCCGATCTACAGACTTATCCATTTCATCATGATTCTCCATGTCATCCCTCAGCACCTCTTTAAAGTCTTCATAGCCTAGGGTATCATCTTCTTCATCCTCCAGCTGCATCAGACGGCGTAGATTTGGTATTTTCCCCAGAATTTGGGATTTGTCCCCATGACCTGTTACTTTTCCAGCTTTCGTCCGCTTCATGTCGGGATTCCTGTCACCAGAACTGGTTTTTAAATGATAAATTAGAGAGAAATAAGAGTTTTCTAAATGGTAAGTATAAGTCATAACTGTTTTTCTTTTTATACATACATTCATATCGGTACATTTTTAAATGGGGGACAATATTTGAATGACTTCTTCCGCCTGGGTGAGGCAGGAGGGAGTGTCAGACTCTTACTGACTAAAAACCACCCCGTTCCTACTCCTGCACTTCGAGCCGGAGCCCCGGTAACCCGTTAGGTTCTCCGCGGCACATATTGGTACATTAACATAGCGATAAAGATTGTCAAAAAAACTACGGATTTGTCACATACAACTGACTAAAGGCCTGAAACTGATCAAGCATACTATAAATGTGTACGCAAGGCCATATCGACGATTTTTCGAACTCTAAAACCCGACGATTTCGGTTTTGAAACTTTTACATCGTCATCTACAGTTAGACACGTTCTATTTACTATACATAACATAACATCACGCCTTTTATCCCCGAAGGGGTAGGCAGAGGTATACATTACGACACTTAATGTTAAAGTACAATGTAACACCCACTTTTCACTATTTATGTCATGAGTCCCATGTAATAGGGGGTGAGCCTATTGCCATATACCGGGCACAACTCCAGACTCCGTGCTACCACTGAGAATTTTAAAAACCCAGTAGTACTTTGCCCGACCCGGGAATTGAACCCGAGACCCCTTGCCCGGCAGTCACACTTACGACCACTCGGCCAATGAGGCAGTCATTAGCCTATTTACCATATTAATATAAAATAAATAAAATATACTAACATTATAGTTGACACGCTCAAAAGTACTTCAAAGTCATTAGGACTAGCTGTCACAATCTTCATCTTCTCCTTTCCAATCATCTGTGCCTCATGGTGGTAGAAGTCCTTCTCGTACTGCGTCGTGGACTCCGGTCTTAGCAACTTCAAGAGATCAGATGGAGATTCCATCTTTTCCTCCTTTGCCATCTTCATTTTCTGGTTGGGTTTCGGTATCTGGTCTATCAGTGGCTCTTTGCCAATTATATTCACATTTTTGTGAGGTTTCGGATGCTTACAAGCCTTATTAGGATTCTGCTTGAACAGCACGTCTAAACCAAATGGATCAGACATGATTTCTGGTAGGTTTTTATTTAAAAATCTATCTAGAAGTTCATCTAAACGTTGAGTGTTTTTATAAAATGGATGTTTAAGCTGATGTTCGTGAATGTGCAAGTCTTTTGGTGCATGTGAGCACTTTTTTACTGCTATTTTCTTTCTGCCAGCTGGTTTGTATTGGACAAGGAGTTTCTTCTTTTCTATAACAAAGCCTGTCGGTTCTTCTGACTCGTTGCTGAACCTTTTCAGTCGACTCCTGTTCATTGCTCGCCTCTTTACATAGGGACTATCATTGTTTTTGTTTAGTAGTGACCTTCTGTGTCTTATGAAGTGTAATTTCTTTGGATAGTGGTATAATTTGAGTGATCTTTTCGATCTGTCTGGAGACTTTTGTGTGTCATCGTCAAGGTAATGCATTTCAACTTGATTGATGCGTTTTAGGCTTTTTATTTTGGCGTCAGTTTGGACTAGTTTCTTGTAGAATTCTGGAAGTAATTGTTTTGTTAGACTAAGATTGTTACATGTATTAACGTCATTACTTTAGTCAGTGATGGCGCTTAGACTAAGATTGTTACATGTATAAACACATTTAGTTAGAGTTTAGTAAGTAAGATGGCGCCCTCACTATATTGTACTATTTAAGATCAGTAGACGGCACGGACTGCGCTGTGGATGTGTCATACATTGGTTCGTATACACGTCGTGTGTACTGTCCATAAATCCATTTGAAATAAAGTCAAATAAAACCAACCCGAGTCTAAATTATTTTACATTTTGCCACTTAGTGATATTACTATGTAATATAAGGTCCATAAATGTTTTAGACTGCACGGTGGGCGCGATGACCGCCGCGCAACGTTGTCGTGGGTTCGATTCCCGCACGGAACAACTCTTTGTGCTGTGGGCTGCACCTACGTTTCATTATTTATCATCATTAGAAAAACATCGCGAATGTTAAGAAACACCAAAAACATTGACAGGTTCTATTGGAAGAAGAAAATACTAAAGAAAAGAGGTGAGCTAACTAATAGTAAAAAGTATGAATATGAGGAAGGTACAGAATAATGAAACGTAAGTGAGCAGCCTTCAGTGTGATCCACAGATTGTTGTTCCGGGTCTGGGCGTCATGTGTATGTGAACTTGTATATTGTAAACGCACCCACGACACAGGAGAAAATCCTAGAGTGAGGGCAAGATTTAAAAAAATCTGCACTTCGCGTATAACTTGACATCTCTGCTTACCTCGAAGTTTCTCACTGCTCTGTAGTTCACTATTTTTATCAGCATCCAACACATTATTCCAGTCAACGTCCCCGGACATTTTGCTTTCAGCCTCATCCAGAGAATTCTGAACAAAAGAAACAAAAAAAAATATTTATTAATTTGTTTATTTTTTATTGAATTTTAGTCTTCAACAAGGAATACACGTAGCACACACGAGTAGCACTACAAGAAATTAAAAGCTATGTGCTCCCTTAATTATAGGAGGCCACAGCATGCAAGAAATCATAAAAATATACATAAAACTGGCAATAAGGGCTGGCTAGTGCTTTGGGCAAAATGTAAGCATTGCCATTCAACGTGGCAAGACTGCCAGTCTTTTGAGCACCCTACCTCACGTTAGCGATGAGTAAAATTTTTTCTTTGATGCCTTATGATCAGTGTTCGGAAAAAGGTGAGCTAATTTACCTAAACTTCAAGGAACAAAAACAAAAAGTGAAGACTTCCTTACTACAACATTTTTTTCGGGAAAGTTCCGGTTCCAGTTTCGGGATATTTATATATTACATTTAATATAATTGTTATTAATACAGAAAACAATTGATTTCGTTTCGTCATTTTATTTCTTAAATTTAACACAAAACCAAACAAAATCAAAACTTTTATTGTTTTCAACAATAAATATTTTATGATGTAAGAAAGAGCATAAAATAAAATTATTCAACAACACAACATAATAACAATTATAATAAGCTAGCAACACTGAACGTCAACACAATGCCAAAAATTTTACTCTATATAAAAAATAATATTTCAACATTAATTTATCTATATTTTGGAAGATTTTACACAGAAAATAACAGATTATGAACTCTTTTATAATATTTAAAAAGATGACCTACATACAAGTGCACAATTCAAAAAAATATTCATCACATATCTAGTGACTTTAAACGCAGTGCCAAGAAATGTCAGTATTCAAAATGAAAAATTTAATCATCAATGTTGACCAGAAGAGCTGCAGCTGCTTTACGGGCACAGACACGCCTGCCATCCCCGACCTCGTCACCTAGCTCCGCTCCGCCACCGTCGGTACCAGTCCCAGATGCAGAGGTACCACTGACGGATGTTGGCGCGTCGAGCTCGAGTGACGAGTACTTCTCCCCGCCAGCGACGCCACCACCTTCATGCCGTCGCCGGGGAGGTCGTCGGCCATCGAGTTGCTTAGGACCACGAAGCGCATTAGCTTCGGGAGGGGTCCCAGCGCCCGGTGGTAATGTGTCGCGCATGAAATGGACGCGATCCATAATGAAAATGTCATGCGCGCATATTTTGGGGCAACAGAGGGAGGAAGTAACCTGACAGCGTACCGTGCAGAATGCTTGCTATGTTTCAGGTGCTCGAACCAACCATCAATGTATCGGCGCAACGACTGTCGGATCAGGTACGGGTCATTCAGCGTAATCGTATGTTGGATGATATCGTGCTTGATCGACTGCGAAGTGAAGTACTTAGGAGCCGTGTCATCATACCGCTATCACAAACTGTACAGCAAGGACAAGTGGATGTTGATTCTGTTGATACACCGAATGATGACAGGACTACGGAAGTAAGTACTCACAAATGCAGTGAAGAATTGAGGAGAGCTTTGGAGGATGCAATTCAGGAATATCGGTTCGTATCACCCTCTCTTAGACCACATCTACCTCGTTTACCCATGCATAAAAAGAATAGGGCGCTTATGTGTGCTTTAGATTCGGAGCTATCAAATAATTTGATAGCAGTGAAGATCTTGTCGATACTCATTCAATTCTGTACTGTGGAGCAATAGCAGCATGTCGTGTGGCACATGTCAAACTAATCAAAAAAGACAATAATGTCACGCGGCAGAAACCAGCTGTACCAGCTTGGCAGTGCAGAATTGAACGACGTATCGATGAAGCTAGAACACTCATTGCTAAATTGATCTGTTTCAGGGAGGGCAACACGCGCCCAAGAGTTATGCGCTTCGTGAGGCGGGCATTCTCTGGGACTGATATTAGACCTCAGGATTACGTCTCACATGTTACGGAGCGTGTTGACTTCCTGAAACAGAAGATTTATGCATGGGCGAACCGTATTAGACGGTATAAGAAGAGAGTGAAACGATACACCCAGAATCGCACATTCCAAAGGGATCAAAGGTGGGTGTATAGAACTTGGGAGCAAAAAGAACAGACTAGGACTGATGCGTGCCTACCAAATGTTGATGCTATGAATTCATTCTGGCGCAGCATTTGGTCGGCACCTGTTAGTCACATCGAAGGGGATTGGATTGAGGAGGTCGAGGGAAAATGCGAACTGATACCAGAAATGGAACCAATTTGTATAACATCAGAAGATGTATCCAAAGCAGCCAATCCGTTGGCCAATTGGAAAGCTCCAGGCCCGGATGGGCTGCATAATTTTTGGATAAGATGGTTTATCAGTTCGCATAATTGCTTGGCATCTCAATTCCAGTCAGCTTTGGAGTCTGGATCTTTGCCCCAATTCTTTACGACAGGTTTAACCCACCTGCTCCATAAATCTGGAAGTACCACGGAACCCAAAAACTATCGGCCGATTACGTGCCTACCCACAATTTATAAACTTCTTACATCCATTTTGAGAGCAAAACTTAATAAACATATTGAAGACAATAATATCATGTCTGCCTCTCAAAATGGATGTAGGAATGGATCCCGTGGTACTAAGGAGCTGCTCCTCATTGACATGTCCATTTGCCAACAGGTCCGTAGATCTCACAAGAATTTGTCCACATGCTGGATAGATTATAAGAAGGCCTATGACTCCGTGCCACATACATGGCTCATGAGGGTGCTGGAGCTGTACAAAGTTGATACAGCTCTACGTACCTTCCTGATGTCATGTATGAGACAATGGAGAACGGTTCTTCGCTATCCAGGATGTGGACAGATCTGTGGGAACGATGAACCCATTAGGATTGAGCGGGGTATATTTCAGGGTGATAGTTTGAGTCCATTATGGTTTTGCTTAGCTCTGAATCCGCTAAGCACTCTGTTGGAGGGCTCAGGGTTAGGATATAGGTTGAGAGAGAGGACAAATTATATCCCACCTACTTTACATGGATGACTTAAAGCTATTTGCTCCAAACAATTGCACCTAATGAGGTTACTGAATGTCACTGAAACGTTCAGTAATGCCATTAGGATGGAATTTGGTGTGGACAAATGTGCAGTTCTGCATGTAAAGAGGGGGGAAATTGTGGAATCAGATGGTACACAGAACTCTGATTCTACAAGCTTCAGACTCCTTCCTCAACCGAAACCTATAAGTACTTGGGTATGTCAGAAGCGTTAGGCATCGATGTGACTGCCATGAAGCAATCGTTGCGGGAGCGTTTCTTTGACCGCCTGAAAAAAGTTCTTAATAGTCTTTTATCAGGCGGCAACAAGGTGCGCGCCTACAACGGTTGGGTCATGCCAGTACTCATGTACTCTTTTGGCATACTCAAGTGGACTCAAACGGAACTGGACACCCTGGATAGAAAAGTCCGTTCATTGCTGACTGAACATCGGATGCATCACCCACGATCATCGATAATGAGACTGTACATTCCACGTAAATGTGGGGGGCGAGGCTTCTTAAATGCAAAAACCCTCCACAATAGTGAAGTGTGCAGTCTCCGGAAGTATTTTTTGAAAATGGACGTGGGGATGCATAGAGATGTTGTCACTGTGGACAAAGGGCTCACTCCGCTCTCCTTGGCCAACGAGAACTGGAGAGAACCTATAATACTAAGCACTAATGATCGCAGGAATGTGGCAAAGTAAGGAGTTGCACGGACGCTACTACCGGGCCTTACATGGGCCAAATACGGATTTCTTAGCGTCCGTATCCTGGCTACGTTTCAGTAACTTGTTTGGAGAAACGGAAGGTTTTGTCTGTGCAATTATGGACGAAGTTATGTTGACGAACAACTATCGAAAATATATTATAAAGGATGGGACTGTTGACATTTGTCGGGCATGTCATCGTCCCGGGGAATCCATCCGGCATATAATTTCGGGTTGTTCTCACCTAGCTAATGGAGAATACTTGCATAGACATAATCTTGTAGCCAGGATTATTCATCAACAACTTGCTTTGAAATATAAACTTGTAGAATCTGAAGTGCCGTATTATAAGTATCTGCCTGACCCAGTTCTTGAAAATGGAGATGTCACACTGTACTGGGATCGAACTATCATCACAGACAGGACAATTGTTGCAAATAAACCTGACATTGTGGTGATAGATCGACCAAGCCGTCGCACAATGATAGTTGATATAACAATCCCACATGACGAGAATCTTGTGAAAGCTGAAAAAGATAAAGCAAGTAAATATCTTGATTTAGCTCATGAGATTGTCGACATGTGGGATGTGGATTCAGCAGTCATTGTGCCGATAGTCGTATCTGCCAATGGCCTCATTGCTAAAAGCCTCGACCAACATCTGAGTAGGCTAGCGTTAGATGGTTGGGTCAAGGGCCTGATGCAGAAAGCAGTACTTCTGGACACGGCGCGTATTGTCCGGAAATTCCTTTCTCTGGAGCCCTGACCACCGGTAGCTTGGATATCTCCCGTTGCTGGTGGGCTACTGATTTTTATATTTTTAAATGTTTTTTTTTTATATATATAATCAAATATTTAAAAATGTATTAGTCAAGTATACGAATAAATAATAATAAAAAAAAATAATTATAATAAATGATACATTCATATTATAAAAATATTAGCCACGTATTTTTTTTATTTTCTCTTATATAAAGTTACAATATGTACTTAGATAAGTACTTATGTGTTTATTATTGTCAGAAGAAAGTTCTTTTGACAGAAAAAAACCCTGAATATCCTACGGGAATGGGAGAAAACGGAATTGCGCATACGAAATCGCGGGCAGAAGCTAGTACTTTGATAAATTAATAGCATTAAGTTTAGGAAGGTCATCACACGATATTTATTTGAAATTCATATATCGTCGAAAGTATTCAATTTTATGAGAAAAGAAAAAATACGTGTCGAATGTTTTAAATTAATCTATCAGACGGACATTAAAATAAAATTTAAAAAACTATTAATAAGA